TCTGTGAGGGCTCAGCCCTAAATGAGCCATTCATGTCACTACCCCCACCAAGGCTCAGCGAACAGTGTAGAAGAGGGAGCAGAAAGAACGTAAGGAGGATGGGGGCACTGCTGTGGAGTGCTGTCTTCCGGGCGGAACAGGAGATCTGCATGTCGCTGTGGTTGCCTGTAGGAGGTCAAGCCAGTCAACAATCCAGCCTGGAGGATGAGGAGCTCTTGAAGCCAACCCCTCGCTGAGGCGCTGTTGGTAGTTGATGGCTGCTGCAGGATGGAGAGCCGTATTGCTTTGGGAGTGTGGCCATTGGTAGGTTGCCCATGATCCAGTGGATGCCCCACACTCATTCTCATATGGGTAGCACTGATTGGATTTGGTTGGTTATATTTTTTAAAAAGAAGGGGAAGGGGAGGAAGAAATAAAATTGGGAAGATGGGTGTGCTGGGAAGAACATGGAAGAGGGGTACGGGGATAGATATAGCCAAACACATTGTATATTTAATATGAAACCTCAAGGAAAAATACAAGTGTTATTTTTTTAAAATACATATCTGAAGCCAGGTGGTTGTGGCGCACACCTTTAATCCCAGCATTCAGGGTGCAGAGACATGTAAATGTCTGAGTTTGATGCCACCTTGGTCTACAGAGCAAGTTCCAGGATGGCCAGGGCTGTTACACAAAGAAAATATGACTCAAAAAATTTTTTAATAAAATAAATAAAAAATACACATCTGAGCCAGGCATGGTGGCATACACCTTTAATCCCAGCACTTGCATGGCAGATGCAGGCAGATCACTGTGGGGCTAGCCTGGTCCACATGGTGAGTTCCAGAACATACAGAACTATGACATGAGACCCTGTCTCAAAAAAACAGAACAAGGGGCTGGAGAGATGGCTCAGTGGTTAAGAGCACTATCTGCTCTTCGAAAGGACCCGGGGGTTCGATTCCCAGCACCCACATGACAGGTCACAACTGTCTGTAACACTAATTCCAAGGGATCTGACACCTTCACACTAATACACATAAAATAAAAATAAAAATAAAAAACAAGACAAAAACACATGCACAACACATCACGACTGTGGACCAGAGGTGCAGCTTAGCAACAGAGTACTTGCCCTGGGTTTAATCCTCAGTACAGTTACTTGCGTAATTAATTAGAGACATGGCTCCCAAGATGTGTTCATTCTGCGCTTACCTGTGCAAGTCCATAAAACGTGAGAACATGATAGCGATAATATTCTATAATATTGTCCATCATTACATTGACTCAGTCTTAAAAGAATTGGCAGGACTTTGAGCCTACTCTATATTGCCAGGCTTTCAGTAAACTCATGATGCATGATAAATCAATGAAGAGTTATTTCAGATACCTAGTGGCAATGAAAGGTGATTGTGCATTGTACACTGTATCTCTCAATGGATGCTATAATTGGTTGCTTTTAATATTGATTTCATTATAATGTATTGAGATGGGCTCATGCATACATGAAGATCAATTATGAGCAAGCCAAAAATGTGTTTGGAATATTTCCTAAATATCTTTAAATACCTTCTTTATTTCTTTGCCCCAGTATCTGACCAATTAAGCCTTAAATTTTTCTGTCCAACTACACAGCCCAGGATTTTTTTTAATGTAATTACTGTAATACAAAGAAGGCATGAGTAAGAAGCAGAAGAATGGGGCTGCTTTCCAATCCTTTCAATGAGAAAATTCCCAGAAATGTGGGAAACTGCCGGAAATGCCTGGCTAATGTGACTGGCTGTGCATATTCCGTCAGGCAGAAAGCCAGCATGGTCCCACTGGCTCCCACTTCTTGTGGCAAGTCCACTCTGGAGAGCAAGGCAAGTCCCTCCAAGCCAGCAGCTACGAGAGAGGCACAAGGATACTGCTGTGGCCAGTCCAGTGCCCAGAGCCCCTTCCTCTCTGGGACTGTGTGTCTCCTGGGTTAAGAAAAAGGGTAGAGAGGTAGACTCTACCCTTCCCATACCTTGGCCTCACTCGGATTATTAGATTGTCACCTCCTAGAGGTTGCACTGAGCATATCCTTGTGTCTGTCTGCTTGCCTCCTTACACAGCCATTGTACCTAGCCCCAAGGGGTACCCTGTGAAGCCTGTTGAATTGGACCAGACATCAACAGCTTCTGATGCCAATTAGCACCATTCTAATTAGGTTACTCAACGCAGAATAATAATTCCACTGACAGAAGTCAGAAACCACATTTGGAATGCAGTTTGCTTTTGCAAATCTTACCCCACAGACTGATAACAGAAAACTTAGGTGGATTTTTCCCAGCTGAGCTGGAGGAATCTGTTCCAGGAGAAATTTGGTGACGTGCAGAGAAAGTTTAGGTACTTCGTCCTTCCGTTTGTGGGGTGCTATGACGAGCAGGAAGCTCAGCCCTCACAGTTACACGAATACTTTACCAAGGACTCTGGAACGAAGCCACTTCTTTCATCCTTCCTCCATCCTTCTTAAGAAGAAGAAAATGCTGGAACACAAGTCACTGCATTCTTGGGAGGCTCATCTTTTCACAAGAAGGGGAAAGGGAGCCTGGTGGTTAGCATGGTCACCGGGAGCCTCAGCTGCCCTGCTGGGGTGGACAGTGTAAGTTCACACAGGCACACACACATACACACATACACACCATGAAGAGATGTGATCCCTGCACCTTTCACAGACACATACACACATACACCATAAAGATATGTGACCCCTGTTCCTTTTTCTATCCCCTGAAGAGCAAATCTGCTGCCTCATTAATATACATGTGTATCCTGCACACAGCTCTAAGTAAATAGCCAACCATCTCACCACTCAGTAACAGCACACAAGCGATGAAAATAAACGCTGGAACAGGGAAGGGGAAACCTGGTCCTCAGCTAACACGGCAGAACTTCATCATTTCTAGAATAAGCATCCTTGTCTCTTCGTGAAAAAGAAGGGCTGCTTGTTTGTTACCTACAGTTACTGTTTCCAAGTCCTTTAGAAACACAGACTACCCCTGACATGTGGAGCTTTTGTGTTTTGAGTGAACAGCACTGTTCACAGCTCCACATGGAGCCTGTTCATTATCAAGAGTCACTTCTTACAGCACGGCTTAGAATTTGCCACAAAATGATAACCAAGGAGGCCTCGATAAATTAATTGGAAGGGTTCTCCTGAGGTGGTTCTGGAGATTTGTAAAGGCATTTATTTTAAGAGTAACTCTCAGGAGAATTTATCAGTAAATTGCTTCATCAATCTTCAGCATTAAATTATTTCCCCATTAAGAAAATTATAATTCTTTTCTTCCCAGTAACGAAAGAAAAATGAAACTATCTTCAGACTATTCTAGCCTGGCTGTTGGCTCTTCTGTCAGTAATTTCTGGAATGCCCCCCTCAGACGCTATAATGCAAAAAGCTCAGGAAAAAATGGTGAGGAAAAGTGAGGAAAGCAGAGATTGGAATTTCAGATAAATGCCATCAACTCAAGAAAACTCAAGTAAGGGCCAAAGAAGGAGAGGACTGCTCCCTCCAGGAAGCTGATGCGGGGGAGGGGAGTCCTGACAGAGCAGGAAGGAAGTGCAGTCTCTGGTATTGGCACTTTCTGAGCTCCTCAACCTTGGAGACTGCAGTAGTGTGTTCCCTCACTGGTAAACAAGGCGTGAGCACTGATAACACCATTCTGCCCCGAAGTCACCCTTGGGCACGTGAGTCAGGTCGACAGTGGGAGACCTCCACGCCCCACCTAGGTGAAGAGCACATAGCCAGCCAGCCTTCTCTTGCAGCGTGTCTTGTGTCTTCTTTTTCTGTGAATGGAGAATACCCTGAATCATCTGTTTACCGAACCCTAAGTTGCAAACCCAGCTGGCTTTCTGATGCTCCCCAGTGGTGGAAGGACCCCACCTCAAAGCACTGGGCCAGAACCCGCTCAGAGTTCTCCTGGTGCTTAAGGAATTAAGTCAGGAAGCATAGTGTATGTTCTAGGTTTTGTTTATTTTTGTCTAGGCTTGGATGGGTAGCCGTGGCCATTATACACTATGCTTTGGGGATCTCTTTGAGGTCTCCAGTGACTGGGCCTCTCTCAAGTAGTCTTCGGCGCTGTCTCAGCTGTGAAAGTTACAAAAGAATAAAGTGGAATGACTAAGATTTTTTAGTAGTACAGAGTTGGTTTAAATATTGAAATGGATCAAAGACCTCAGTGTAAGACCTGAAGCTTTATTACCACTAGATGAAAACATGAGGACAGTTTCATATGCAGGCTAAGGAAATGTATTCGCTCATCAAAAATAAAAAGACATGAAAAGGAGGAGGACTAGTTGGAAAGAGAAATGAGGTCATGAGGAGTGGAATGGGCAAGAAAAGGTAATTGGGGAGTGGTAAATATGATCAAAATATATTATGTACATAGAAATGCCATAGTGAAATTTATTATTATATATTACTATATGCTAATAGAAATTTTGTGATTAGATAATAAGTGTGTGTCCTGGCATCCCACTTTATTCGTACTGTAGTGTAACTAACCTACTTTTAACTGTGATCTTGGAAATCTAGGCCTTGACTTTAATGTACACAGAAGAGCAAATTGTGTGTGTGTTTGTTCATGTTTGTGGGCACTGCTTACTGACCACTCTGATGGCTGTAGTAATCCATCTTTCCTAAGACTAGAGCAGCCATGTTTTCTCAGCCAGGCCTGTTATCAAAACTCCAGCCAGGCTTTCCGCATTTGGCTGTTTTGTGGATTGCTGGTATGATTTGGGAACAGAAGCCAAAATACAGAGAAGTTTTAAGCCTTATAAACAGAGAGAAACGCAAGCTTTAAGAGAATGAGAACACTTGTAGGGTCCCTGCTTGATCAGGCTTTCTCCCTCCGGTTCTGAGTGACCAGAGGGGCCATCCAGGAGCCTGAGCTGCGGAGCAGCCTACGGCAGCCCTTAGAAGTCTGCTCTCACCCTGCTGCCTTCCTGTGTGGGAGTGTGCGAGGCCCCACTTCAGCCTGCTTTGTTTGTTTCCATAGATCATGCAACAGATGAGTGACCACCGTTACGACAAGCTCACCGTACCCGACGACATGGCTGCCAACTGCATCTACCTAAATATCCCCAGCAAAGGGCATGTCCTGCTGCACCCAACCCCAGAAGAGTACCCAGAAAGTGCAAAGGTAAAAAAAAAAAACTCCATCTGTCCTGCAGCTAGCCTCTCTGGGGACCTTCCTGTCATGGAATGACAAAAGAGGACTTCCATTTTGCTGTACATACACCGAGACAGCAGAAAAGGACCTTTGAGAGGAAGGGAACTGTTTATGGACATTTTCTCACTCATGCCATTAGTCAGTTGCGCACACGTGGTGATTGGGGTGGCGCTGCCTTCTGGTGAGAGTTTTTCAGACAAGAACCCCAAGGGCTGTGGAGGTATCTCGACTGTAGAGTGCTGGCTGAGTGAGCACAAATCGGAGTGTACTCCTCTGCATTGTGCACAAGCAGGGTGGGTGGCGCGCTCCTGGGACCCTCTTACTGAGAGGCAGATGCAGAGGAGCAGACGTTAAAACCCAACCTCAGCTGCAGAGCGAGTTTGCAGTCAGCCTGCGCTACACAAGACCCTGTCTCAAGAAAAAGGAAGAGAAATCCCCTTCCCAAATCTCTGCTCCAGCTCTCAGTGTGCATCCTTCATGAGCTTCCCTTGAGCAGAGAGTTAGTGCCTTCTTACGGCAGAGGAGCAGGAATGAGTTTTGAAAATAGCGGACCGCACAGCCTCGGTGGTAGGAAGATAGAGCAGGAAGACATGCGACACACTTACACTCAGCAAGCCAGAGCCTCTGACCTGGAGTTTTTCCTAAGCTAAGAAAATCGCCGTTGTCTCCAGAAGTCTTCATTCTCATTAGTCCTCTGTTTCATCATCCTTAGGGTACATAACCAGCTGCGCCAATGAGGCTTCAGGCTCTCTAACTTCTAGGCATTGTAAGAGCCCCTATGCCCAGAGGAACATGACATTTATAACAAATATTGTAGAAGGACATTTAGTGGTCACTGATTTTTTTTTTATTATTATTATTATGTCCTCTGCTTTGAAAAAGACTATGTAGTCTTTGTAGTATGAAGTATATTGCTTCATGCTATTTTTGTGTGTATGTACACATGCCAGTGTGGAAGCCTGACGTCAGTCATGGATCTTTCTTCGGGAGCTACCCACTCTTCGGTTTTTTGGGGCAGGGTCTCTCCCAAGCCTAGAACTGGCCAGCAGCCCCAGGAATCCCCGCAGGTCTCCTCTGCCCCAGTGCCCGAGCTGTAAATCTGCATCAGCACAGCCAGCTTTTTCTGCACGAGCTCTTGCAGAGAGCTCAGGTCCTCAGGCCTGCAAGGCAGTCGCTCTTCTCCAACCCTTGCTCTGCTTTTCACATTGGTGGTTCTGTATTAGACTAGATTTACCCTCTGCCCAGGGCCACTCTATAAGTCCCTGAGAAGAGACTTGGGGGAATGCGGAGGTAATTTTATTCTCTTACCATAGTAGAAGTATGAGCCTGAGGAAAATACCCGACCGCAGACAAGGACGAAAGCGGAGCTTTATGCCAGGGTTGTTAATGCTGCAGGTCCTCGGCCCCCGGCCTAGAGTCTGCGAGATGAACAAGCTGCAAGTGCACAGAACCCACTTTGAGGACTTCATGCCTCTTGAGCCTCATTGATCGCCTAGCAACCGAATGTCATTAACTGCCTCTCAGCTCAGCCCTGTGTCCATCAAGCAGTAGAATAACATCAGTAGCGCCCTTGTTCACCAAGGAGCTTTGTGGGTCAGGCACTGTGCGGAGCCTGCCCTAAGCGTTATCGCCGGTCCTCCTAATGGCACTACAGTAGCCGTAGCCCAGCCTTCCAGAGATGTGAACAGGCTTGGAAGGAACACCAGTTAACTGACATGGCAGCCGGAAGTTGGCAGGACTGGGTTTGGAGCCCAGCTGGCTCCTGCACTCCAACCAGTGTGCTGAATTTTAAGGAACACAGTGTTTCTGAAAGACTCAGGGCAGGTTGTTTTTAGGCAGAGTTTTCAAGTAATTTTGTTTTATTAAAGTGTGGTTTTGATCACGGGGGGGAGGGGGGAGAGAATCTGTGGACTGTTAATTAGATGTTTTGACACATACTTTCCATGATGGTTGAAAGATGCTATAAAATTCACACCTATAATTTAAACTCGGGGTGACCGGCAGCGCGCACTGAACTTACATCCCGTAGAGTTGGTAAAGAAAGGAACATGAGAGTGTAGTTAAAAGTGCACTGGGGTGAAGAGAGGGAGGGATGTGTAAGCCGGACACACAGCCATGTGGTTTTGATTATCACTTAACCTAGGAATGACAATGGCAGAGTGAAGGCCACAGTCACATTGGTGACACGTCCTTCACTTTGAAGTTAAAGCATAGAACAAGAGGTCAGTCAGTTGTGGCCAGCTCTGAGGGAGGTCTGTGGGCACGAGTACCTTGGGCTTAAACAGCGGAAAGGCACAGATGCGTAAACTGGAGTAATTCTCTGTCCCTGCGGGTAGCAAAACAGGCCAGGCTGTAACCTTCCTTGTCCTCCTCCCTCTTGGTTCCCGCTATCTGGCAGGTTTATGAGAAGCTGAAGGACCATTTGCTGATCCCCGTGAGCAACTCGGAACTGGAAAAGGTGGACGGTCTGCTCACCTGCTGCTCCGTTTTTATTAACAAGAAGATGGACTCCTGAGCCAGAGTCCCTCTCCTGTGGCCAGTGTGGCCTAGGCCAGGCTAATGACTGACTGTACCCACTCCTCTTGTTTTCCTTGACAATCTACTGTGCCACTGTGCTACTAACTCTTGTTTACAAAAATAATAATAATTTCCATTTTAATCACTTCATTTTCTGCACCCTCCTTTTCCTCACGGTGGCACCTAACCTGTGGATTTGCCAAACGAGTTAAGTGACCTAGAAAATACATGACTAACCAATCATTGGAACGTGATCAATACTGTGGGGACACTCATTTCCGTGTTTGTGTTATTAGTATGGAAATGATAGAGTTGCGGAGTATTATAAAGACTGTCTTCCTGATCATCCAGAGAAGCAAGGGACCTTTTCTCCCCCTCGGTATCATGAATCACATTTGGTTCCGGAGAAATTCCCTGACCCATGGATTTATGGTTTTTTCCCAGCCCCTTCTCAACTCTAAAAGCCTTTCTGCTAGGTACTGTCTTTGGCCTTTCCCAGTTCTCTCATAGCCACCTTGACCTTGGATAAGGTTGTTCATTCTGAATTCCTTCCTTAAGATCTACCCTGTGTGCACCCCTGCTCTTCTGCCTCATGGCCACATCTCTCTCCTATGACCACCAGCCCTCCCTTCCCCTAGAGAAGAGCAGTGGTTCCTCAGCAGATCTGTGACCCCAATCAGAGTGACTGGATGAGGAACAGGAACCCCAAGATGTACATCCTGACACTTGCCTTGAGCACGTCTAGGAAGGTAAATTCAGCCCCAGGAGATCAGGATGTTAAAGAAGTCCCGAAACACCCCATGGGTAGATCTTAGAGAGACTGAGTCACATGCCGTCATTTGCCTCATGACTAGTCCTATAGGAGCATGGAGGAAAGTCCTTTTCCACCTAACCCCTTCCCCTTTTTTCAGCTTCTTTCTGTTTCACCTTGTTTTTACCCCATAAGAATCATCATGATCTTGAAAAGGCATTTCCTTCCAAAGAGGCAGAGCATCTGAGATGATTGTTGATGGTCTGCTGAGAGCCAGAGGGAGCTGCCTCCACCCAAGGTCTAGGAGCGCAATCAGGAAATGGTCCCAAAAGTCAATCTCAAACAATGTATGAGTCTTCTGTGAAATATCCATGAATGTTTACTGTGGAATTCAACTGAAACTTGTTTCCTCTCTAGTCTTCAGATTACACAATGTTCAGCTGGCACAGGTCTCTTACAAAGAACAATGCCACAGCAAAGGAAGAGAACATTCCTTTTTTAAATGCTGAAAAGATCAGGGTCAGGGACATGGACCTTTACAAGGAATAGTGACCAACCCAACCAGACATGGCATCAAACTTGTGGTCACATCTTTGCTCTATAGTCTACAGTTTGTCATTCAATATTTAAAGTTGGGGAGACAAAGAAAGATTACTTCAGGTCTATCTCTCCTTGCCTCTCTTGTGATCAATGGTTTTTATCTTGTTGAGCAGGAGAGAATTGCCTTCACTGCATTTTCCCTCAGTAGAAAGAAGTAAGAATCCCCTGGGAAAGCCAAAACATCCTTTACCACTCTTCCTTATTGGCCATCTCTCTGAAGAAATCAGTTCTATCTCTTCCTTGCTGTCTAACTTTAGACTCATATCCTATGCAAATATCTAACTATGTACACCCTGTGAATGAACCATATCTTGGTCACTATCATATTTCAGAACACCTCATCAGGAGTGAATAATATGTTTTTTTCCAGGGTGAATGAATGTGAGCCACATGCCCAAATTAATAAAGAAAAATTGTTCTCAGCAATTATGGTTGCCTTTGGGGGTTAAATTTGGCCCTACACTGGCAAAAAGCAGAAATTCTTCCTGTGAGAGATGACCATCTCAAAATCAACCAGAGGAAAACCAACCCACTGAGCTGGTGTAGGCCAACCAGCATGTAATTGTCAGCAGCATCCTTCTATCATCCGATTACAGACCTGTCCTCTTGTTATGTTTAGTCAAATACAAGCGAGTAGATTCTTCATTATGACAGTTTCTTCTGCAAGACCTAGTTTTTTCAATTCCCCTTTGCTTCCCTCTTCCCTTATTTGTCTTGAGAAGTAATTATTCTGCTCTTTGGACTCCCTGTATGGTACAATGATGTGAAAACTCAGAATACTCCCGGCACAGTAGCAATGCTTCTTTGATGTTGTCATCAGCATACTGTTATCTTTGAAAAGGAAAGATGTTATTAGCCCAGCTCCCCTCTTGTCCACTGTGTCTTACAAAGATGCAAACACTAACAGAAATGCTTTTGGCATTATAAAGACATGAGGAATTAACATTTAAGTAAGTATACATTGAGTTAGAATTATTGGGTCAATATATGATTTGATTTAGTGAAAAGATTGTCTAGAAGGAATATATAATTTAGCACTATGTCATTAGCTGGTATGTTGCTGTAGGAATCAGTGGCAGGTCTCTCCAGAGTGTGTTACTTGCTCTTCTTTGCTGCTAGGAACTGATTACCAAGGCCACCATCTCCACATCTCTAAGAAGGGAAAATAAAATAGTCTGTAGTTTCACAGTGTGACTTATGTAGGTTGCATGTTAGTCTCTGTAATTATTCATGCTTTAACCTGCTACAGAATTCAGACATGATTTCCATGGGGTGTTAGGTTTTCAGCTTTTTTCTCTTCTTGCCTGTCAACTTCCAGCCAATGTATGGTTATCCAGTCTGTGTGCCAAAGCCAGCCACACCTCCCACAGCCCGTTAGTGCAGAGTTCTTCTGCAGCCACACTAGTGCCCCGCTGCCCACCCCTAATGTACACCGGTGAAGACAGAATAAAGTGTGAGTTGTACTGTGCCCAGTGGTGTCCGTCTCTTCTTTAACAGTGTTACCCAGCTGGCACCTTACGGCGTTCCATATGAGGCTAAGCTGAATTATTTTTCTTTCTTTGTTCATGATGAGAAATAAAGAGACGTAGCAAGAGGGAGGAAGGAGGAGAAAGAGGGAGGGACAGACAAGGGAACATGGTCAAAGTCCACACTATGCTTATCAGAAAATGTCCTCACAAACCCGTCCGTCCATACAGTGAATATACAGTGATGAAACTGCTTTGAAATGAGCTTTGCTTTTTCATCTGTTTTACAGTGAGCATTTAAAAGGAAATATGAAGGTTATTCTTATGAGGTCCTTGTATTCCAATAACTTTTTGTAATCTGAAAGAGCTGTGCTTTATTTAAAAAAAAAAAAAAACAAAAGTATTCACTGTAAGAATAAAATCCAAGCAATACAAAAATATCATTTAAAAGGTAAAGATAGAGGTAGCAAAATAGTTCAGCAGCTGAAAGTCCCTACCCCAGAAGCCTGACAATCAGAATTCAACCCCCAGGACCCCACAAGTTGTCCTTGCAAAGTGGCATGCACACACCCATTGAGGTACACCTCATATGTACACAATGCTAGTAAAAAATAAAATGTATTTAAATTTTTAGTTAAATAAAAATTACCCAAAATTTCATCACCCATACATATAATACTATTGACTTTCCAGAAGGTGCCACGCATTTGTGAAAAGATATTAATGCAAATTCTGAATAATTTAACCTCCTTATAATGTTCTAGAGTCCACTTTCTTCCCTGCTCAACAGGATGTCAGAGGCATCTTTCCACATCCTTAAGACAGCTGTATATCATCAGCTGTGGCAGCCCCAGGATTCTGCAGTGCAGTTCCAGGTGGCCCTTTCTAGATTACAGTATGGTATCACACATGGCTCGTTACGTCCAGAATTGCAACTGGGGCTCCTCAGACCACCACAACCTGCCACTCAGAAGCTTCCACACAGCCTCATGGTTGGTTAAATCCTGTCATAATGGGATGTTACAAGGCAGTGCTCACCAGATGCACACAGTCCTCAAGCTCCTTGGGGAGGCTGTTGATCTGATCATACCTTCCCAGTTGATGCAGCTAGTGGATTCTCTCCTATTTAGGTTGACAATGACGTTGTCAATGGAGCTAAAACTTGCTCAGTGCTGAGCGGCACTCCCCACAAACCTGCTCTTGACCTGACAGGAAATGAAATCTCCCCCACACACCCGTACACACACCCAAGTGCTAGAGTCCGTGGCTCTTCACCCTGGGAAAAGAGGGTCCTGTCTAGAGGAAGCCTGCGTGGCAAGGCCTTCCTACCTCATCCTGCCTGAAGCATCTCAAGTGAACTGATACCTTCTCATGACAAGCCACAATGACTGAAATGGGAGTGCTACTGGAGAAGAGTAGCCAACAGTAGTTGTAAACAAGTGAACATGTCCTTAAAAAGCACCCAGCCTTGCCAGGCCTGGAGCCACAGCCCCTGTCTTCTGAGAGCTGCCTGCTTGGGAGGGGCAGGGAAGTAAGAGCTCAGATGCACAACAAGGGGTGCTTGTGTCAGGACTGGCTGCTTTCGGTCTTGTTCAGAAAAGTGAGAATGTGCATACCAGTAGCAAAGTAGCAAAGGTTTTTTGTTTGTTTGTTTGTTTTGTTATGTTCAAGAGCAAAACAAAAGTACAGGCCAAATACATTGCCAGAGAACAGTGGGATATCCGAGCTGGAATGGCAAAGAGCACCAAGTTACTCTCTGGGACTTTTTTTTTATAGGTCCAAGAGGAAGAGGACTGAGTTGCTAAGGAGCAAGGCATGATGAGGATTTGTTCACTGTTCACATGATGCATCTGATTCTCATCACATGCACTACTGACCATATATCGGTATATGGTAAATGGAGGTTTTCCCCAACATTCACTGCTCACTGTCTTCCTTATGGAGTATACACCCCAAGCCAGCCACTCCACACCCACACACCCAAGTGCCAGAGTCTGTGGCTCTTCATCCCGTCTGGATGGGCCCATTTCTCTTCATTTCAGGATACATTTCGGGACATGTTGATCACAAAAGAGGAATTAGCCAAGAGAGTGCTTGGGAGAACCAACCTATTGCATTGCTTTCTATGAGGTTTACACACAGTGTACAGTTCTCTACAAGTAGGGTCCCAGGTTGCTAACGGGGTCTAAGGAAGGGGTGTGTGTGTGGCTTAAGCCGAGTGAGGCCCTGGACTGATAAGCTATTGCTACACATGTTTTCCTGGCTGCTGGGCTTCCCAGGTTGAGGAGACCCAGAAGACTCTGGAGAGAGCCAGATTCTCCTCTGGCTTCAGCTGGTTGGCCGGGGAAGCATCTTAAGAAGCACAGCAGGAGCGTGGTGTGCACTCCAGAAGCAGCCATTCCTTAAACATGTTACGTCCACTAAGCTCTCAGGAAATGAGAGTCACCGCCACAGCCTTCCTGGAGATGGCTCAGCAGTAAAGAGCCCTAGCTACTCTTCCCCAGGACTCAGGTTCAAGCCCCAACCCCCACTGGGTGCTCACAATGTCCTGTTACCCCAGTCTCGGGGGATCCAGTACTGTCTTACTGCATGAATGTGGTGCACAGAAGTACCCTCACATGGTTCACAGACATACGTGCAAGCAAAAACACCTATACACAGGCAATGTGTAAATAAGCAGATAAAGGGTATGCAGAGCAGACAGGGAGATCAAGCTAGTAGATCTGTCTGGCTAAAACTGCTAAGCATAAAAGCGCAGTGAGACAGCGCAGGCTGGAATGTGACGCGCCCTGCACGCTGAGGGCAAGCACTTGGACAGCACTTGTCAGTCTCTTAGAGTTCCCCAAGGACATTTGATTAGAGACATACCATGACAGTGGGGCCTGACCAAGGCACAAGTGGAAACTGAGAAAGGCTGGTGTTCCTCTCTGTTTGATTTCTCCAAGTTCAGTCCATTTAAACATTTCTTCTTGCCACCAGAGCGGAGCCTGGAAGCCCAGGAATCGTCTCCTCCTCCTCTGCTTGCTCTCCTGAATAAATAAAAAAGATTACTAACATCTGCCTCCCAACTCCAAGAGGACATTTTCATCGCAAGTGAGGTAAAGGAACTGAGGGGGTCTTTGGGAGGAAGGTATAATGTAAACATCATTAGCATCATCATTATACTCATTAACTGCGATCAGCGAATGTTTGGATCCCATCAAAATGTCAGCTTCTATTTGAAACATCAATCAACCACTCCAGAAATAACTGGAGATTTTCATCGTTGGTGCCACCAAGCTGGCGTGACAGCTTCTACGGTGAGCTCACAGGTTTCCTCAGCATCTGATGTGACCATTTCAGCCACCTATTCCATTAGAAAATGTGGAATATTTGTATCTTCTTCCCCCCATCAGCACTTATTTCCAATGTAGTGGAAGCTGGGTTACTTTTAGCACATGGTATCTGGGATTATTGGCTGTTAGAGACCATCGAGCTGCCAAACATGCTATGGTCACTATAAATAAACAGAAGGCTCAGAGGACTATTCGAGGGAGATGCTTGGTACAACACTGCCTGGGGTAACCGTGACACGATGCCTGAAAGCCAGGGCACATTGCTAGGTGTCGAGAAGCCCCCTCAATTTATACACAGGTGCTTCCATTGCTTAATCTTGAGTGCAGACAAAGAGCTTCACTGTGTTAAAACGGTCCTAAACAGGCAGTGTGCCTGATTTTTTTTTAAATTTGAGATAAAAGACAATAATTTAAATGGTCTATATTTAAGTTTTATAATTTGATTTGTTGATGTACTTATAAATTATAAAATAATTGTATAATGCAGTTGGCATTTTATGTATAGAATGTTTAAAATCTTTCATTTTTAAAGATTTTAAATATGCAGTGCAATATTTTTAGCTGTGATCCTGTGTCTGATGTTAGCTGTGATCCTATGTCTGATGTCAGCTGTGATCCTGTCTGTGATCCTATGTCTGATGTCAGCTGTGATCCTGTCTGTGTTCCTATGTCTGATGTCAGCTGTGATCCTATGTCTGTGATCCTATGTCTGCAATCTTATGTCTGTTGTCAGCTGTGATCCTGTCTATGTTCCTGTCTCTGGTGTCAGCTGTGATTCTATGGCCTATATCAGCCGTGATCCTATGTCTGTGGTCCTATGTGTGATGTCAGCTGTGATCTTGTGTCTGCAATCCTATGTCTGTTGTCAGCTGTGAGCCTATGTCTGTGGTCCTATGTGTGATGTCAGCTGTGATCTTATGTCTGCAATCCTATGTCTGTTGTCAGCTGTGAGCCTATGTCTGTGTTCCCATATCTGGTGTCAGCTGTGATTCTATGGCTTATATCAACTGTGATCCTATGTCTGTGATCCTATGTGTGATGTCACCTGTGATCCTTTAGCATATATTAAGCCTCTAGAACTCCTTCATCTCATGTATCTGAACTTTGTATCTCTTGACACCCACATCATCAACTTGTCCACTAACTATTTCTCCCTTTAAAAGTAATTGTATGGTCTTTTCCAACCAAAGACCATGCATGGATATAACCTAGAACCTCTGCTCAGACGTAGCCCACAGCAGCTCAATATCCAAGAGGGTTCCTAGTAAGGGAAACAGGGACTGTCTCTGATATAAACTCAGTGGCTGGCTCTTTGACCTCCCCCCACCTCCGAGGGAGGAGCAGCCTTGCTAGGCCACAGAAGAGGACATTACAGTCAGTCCTAATGAGAACTGATAAGCTAGGGTCAGATGGAAGTAGAGGAGGACCTTCCCTATCAGTGGACTTAAAGAGGGGCAGGGAGGAAATGGGGGAGGGAGGGATTGGGAAGGAATAAGGGAGGGAGCTACACCTGGGATACAAAGTAAATAAACTGTAATTAATATAATTTTTTAATTAAAAAAAAAGTAGTTGTATGGACCTTTACCTGGACAAAGAAGCTTATTGATTGAAATTTGAGAGTTAAACCCTAAGAGGACACTTCCTAAAATGCAATCAGAATACTACAT